AAAAACGGAGGGAATACCTCGCAAAAATTGACCGTCGCCTCGTGTTTGATGCGGAGAACACTTTGAAGTACCAGCTTCCGATCATATGGATTAATATTTCTCGCCGAACGACGCGTATACATGTACGCGCGCGGATAAAATAAGTTGGCAAAGACGCAAAGACGGATCGTAATACCGTTGACGTGTCTCGTAACGAAACGTGTCACACGAAATGGATACGTGATGCTGTTGCAACGCAGTTCATCAACCGGCTGTACCCTCTAGATCCCACATTTGCATCCCACTTCGGTCGTCTTTCACATTTTCGTGTATATCCTTTCGCGATACTTGTTAAAAACCCTCTAGACCCCATATTTGCATCCTACTTCAGTCACTTCTCACATTTTCATGCATACTCTTTCGTGATACTTATCAAAGATCGTCGTGGGTTCTTTGACGCATTGAATTGTTCATTGTGTATTGTGAATTTCGTCCACTATACACTGTATTGTGATATAAATATTCAGCGTAGTTGTATACTGCGATGTAATTGTATTGGATTGACAACGTGTATTCCCTAAGAACGCTGGAGAATAATAAACCTGCATTCGGGCAATGTTTGCATATTAATGGACAGCAGATATTTTTTAGGTACTTGCAGGGAATTTTGATCTTTGAAGACAAAGTTGGGCCTATTTTATTCGAACGAATAACGAATAAAATACTGTCAAATTTATTCGTAAATAACGAATAACGATTTTATTCGAGGAAAAATTTTACGAATAACGATTTCGAATAAAATTTTATTCGAATAAAACTTCGAACAAATTCTTCGAATAAAATTTTATTCGAATAAATTCCTCGAATAAAATTTTATTCGAATAAATCTTCGAATAAATTCTACGAATATAAATCTTCGAATAAATTCTTCAAATAAAACTTCGAATAAATTCTTCGAATAAAATTTTAATTATTAAAAATTTATTCGAAGAATTTATTAAAAGATTTATTCGAATAAAATTTTATTCGAATAATGCCCAACTCTGTTTGAAAAATCCAAAGTGATCAAAATTACTAATTCATTATTTTATAAATTTAAAACGATGTACTTTTAAAAACTTAAGTGATTTTTTTCGTCGAATATTTAAACAGAAACCAAAAATTTGTGTATTTTGTGCTTCATTTATTTCGCGCGAGTTTCAGTTAAAGTGCAGAATTGTACTGAACACACGTAATACAAAAAACTATATAAAATATACAGAATATAGTAACTAATATTTACTTTAAGAAACTTTCTTTTTAGGGGAATGAATTAAAACGTGTGCAGGGAAATATTATCAGACATTAAATAATGTCACTGCTTCCTCTGTCAGGCAAACACATTCACACTTTTTAAGTATACTTTCACATAGATTAGTTAAGCACGCGGCACGAGAGACGTGCAACCCGAATACATGCCGAACATATTTCGATGAAAATCATACCATATTGTAACGTGGAATTATGATTTAATTTACGTTTCAAAGTGTTATATAAATGTCAGCAACAATTCCACGACGGATGTAACTTTGTAAATGCGAATTACGAATGCGCGCGTTGGTGAGTATTTCTCGCGAAGCTTCTCCAAATCTGCGTCGTTAATTACACACCGTGAAAGGAAGAAAATTTTCGTTGAAAATTCGCGATGAACACAACGATGACAAATTGCCAACTGACGTCCGAAGGAATTATGATCGATGTCGAGGTAGTTCGAGTCGTAACTCAAGAGCGAAAATAACGAGCGGAGTATCGAAAATTGTAGTTCCGTGCCTGCCGCGATAAAGCCATAATTGCTACATTTCGCGAGAATAAGCAACGGTAACGAAATTCACATTGCCTCGGCCACTTTGCTCGACACCATCGCTCACCCTTGAAGCACGATGCTTGCTTGCGTTCTAAATGTTTTCGCCAAATCTTCTTCGGCACGTTTCAGTCATTTTCTGCGCGTCGAGTAGCGACGAAATGGAAGCCTCCCTTTACAGTAACGAATAATCTTCGAGGTTCATAAAAATTAGGAGCAACCATTACGTTTAAATATTTGATTATTAGGAATGAAAAATAGGAAAAATATTTGAGATTGGTTCTCAATGATAGTGTTCCAATTCATTAAAATTGATACTGAGGAATGTCACTAAACAACGTAAGTTTATGTGTTATACTGGTCGTGTTAATTTTCACAGAGGATTAATATATGATGAATCTGAAGTGATAAGAATTATCAATATTGTTATTAATGTATGATATATTATATTATTAATGTATGATGAATTATGTTATTAATGTATGATATATTATATTATTAATGTATGATGAATTATGTTATTAATGTATGATATATTATATTATTAATGTATGATGAATTATGTTATTAATGTATGATATATTATATTATTAATGTATGATGAATTATGTTATTAATGTATGATATATTATATTATTAATGTATGATGAATTATGTTATTAATGTATGATATATTATTAATTATTAATTATAATATTATTCTATTATATATTATATATTAATAATTATATATATAATAATATATATAATATATATAATAATTATATATATAATAATATATATAATATATATAATAATTATATATATTATATATTAATATATTATATTATTAATTATATTATTAATGTATGATGAATCTGAAGCAAAATATAAAAGGCAATTTTAAATTTTATTTTAATTCCAGTTTTTTTATTTTATTTTATTTTATTTCATTTTTTAATTTATTTTATTCCGGATACTTTGGTTATGTTTGATCAAAGATTACAGGAATGAAAAAAGTACGGCAAGTATATTCTTATCTTATCTTCCGACGATGAAACAGAAAGATTCTAAATTTCACAAATATCTGAGAAATTGAGAATGATTCGTGAAGATCAAAGATATATGCCCCTTATCATTGAAATCCATTTTTAGTTTCGTACGAAATTTTGAAAATTTCCATGTTGGATATGAAAAATAACACGTTCCACAACGAAATAAAAAATAAATTATAATAACGTGGAATCGACCTACAACGTGTTAGTGGATCGAATAAAAATACACTTATAGTTAATGGGTTTAATACATATAAATTATGAAATGTATAAAGTATCTATCTCTCATTAATTCACTCTCTCTATTCACTCTCGCTTCTCATCGGACATCCTCGCAATCACAATTGTTTTTTCACGATGCTCGCTCTCAACTGTTCTCGCATACTTTTCTCTCATTCGCCCTCTCTTCTACCACGAAACAAAACATTCAGACCATCCCACACTACAATACATGCATACTCGTCACACTTATCCTTCCATACAGACATTATGTACTTTCACTCCACAATATATCACGATCTATGGTAACCACTAGTATAATTTCGAACAAAAGAAAAGTTCATAATGCAGATGGAGTTCGAATACTTTGACGAGCGTATATTTCTACCTTATAATAAATATTATATTGGAAATAGGAAAACTATTGTGGGAACTTTTGCAAAGGTATTTAATACACGTGTGTGTTTGTGAAAAAATGAGCTTTTATTCATGTGCTTGTTAAATATGCATACAGGATGTATCAGTTTTATTAGAACAAAACGTCGATCTATTGTACATTTTATGAATCAAAATAAGCGTTAAAATTCAATAAATAACATTTTATAATGAATAACATTTTATAATGAATAATAAAAAAAAAAAATTCGAATTATTTGAAATATTAAATAGATTAAAGAATATTTATGAAATTATAGAAATTATTATAGAACATTTAAGAATATTATAGAAATTACATGTTATCAAACTACATTCTAATCATACAATTATATTATTAAAATAACTAATTAGTAACTTGTACAAAGTTTCAAAAATTTCACTTGATACTTAAATTAAATACAAATGTATATAATAACTAAAAATGAATATTAACATTGTACGACTTGCAAAAGAGAGTGGTGATTACGGCGTAGTCAGCACGGTGGACCGTCTTCTTCGCAGAGGGCGATCCGTTTCCATCCATACCATCTGGTAATATTACTGCTCGTTTGATTGAATGATGGAGAGGTTGAAGTCATGGTTGACAGCTGCAGTTGGATGAGCATCATCCGAGTTTCCAGTTGCATGGAGAGATTCAACGAAGCCTTGCCAGACAGCGAATGGTTCCTTGGCAATTCTTCCAAGATGATCTTGTTCGCCTTCTCAATAGTTTATTAACATTCGGCATAATTCTAGTATTGACTGTGTTTCGATTGCATTGGCGACCTCCATGGAGATGAGGAGCACGACTGCAATGGCGGTGAAGAAGCCGAGGACCACGAACACGACAATGGCGACGACGATGAGGACCGCGAACACAACAATGCTGATGACAGCGATGACCAAGATCTCAATAATGAACAAGGCGATGCAGAACAAGGTCCCAACGATGGTAAAGACGATGACGAGAAACTGGATGAAGTAATTCCAGAGCCAACGGAACCATGACAGCTCATGGCTAGTCTCCGTGGTTGCTTCGTCTTGTCGTGGAGAAGGTGTGAAGTTGCACCTCTGATTCTCCTCGTAGAGATCCTCCTCGTAGAGATCCTCATCGTAGAGATCCTCATCGTAGAGATTCTTCTCTTCGTAGAACATTTGCTTCTGGTTTTCCGTAATGTACTCCATGGTAAACTTGGACTCTTTGATTCTTCGTTAATCGAATATGAACAAAGTAACAACGTTCTGATTCTTCGTTCACTCGCAGTTCGTCTTATATACGGCTGACTCTCTTTGTTGTGCCCTACCCAATCACAAGGCAGGTAATTTGTCATTGGTCAAGATGTGTCGTTGGTAGGGGTATTCAGGTACCCGAAATTACGAGTACCCGACTGTTTGGCTCGGGCTTACACAAAGTCGGGTAGCCCGACGATTTCGGATCGAATTTGAAAAGCGACTTGTATAAGCCAGACTCGAACCCGAAATTTTGGATACCCGCACATCCCTAGCCATTAGGCAAAGATTAGTCGCGTTAAATAATTCTGACAATTACTTTATGAGCCTAATGGTACTACCCAGGGATGCGTCCTTTCCATTACGTTCATGCATTCATTAGCTCAGGTAAGAGAGTCCTTTACAACAGTGTTGTGTGAAGTGGACAAGGAATACAGGATATTACAAATTCAAAAATTTATTACAAAGCAAATGAAAAAATAGAAGTAAGTGGAAAATATTAGAAAATGAGACGTGACAAGGACAGTGTTCGACAAATGAAGGACGACCAAGAACATTTGAGAAAAACATCGATCGTGTAGGAAATCGAATATACTGTCTTGATGTGCTTCGTGAAACTAATGGTAATATAGAGATATATTAAATGAAGCAGTAAAAACATAAGTATATATATCTCATTTTGTAGTAATTTTCACTTATTTGTCATTTCATTTGCCTCCGTAATAAATTTTTGAAATTGTAAAGAAACTTTATGGACATTCTGTATATTCACGTAAAATAGTAATTAGGAAGAATCATAATGCTTCTACAATTTCAACTGCATGTTAAAAGTGTCATTTATAATTTTTCAGGTAGCAACAGCCTTAATCCCTTTAAAGATCGCGCAGTTCCTAGGAAGTCTAAGAATCCTTTGTACCTGTTTTATGGTTTTATGGTTTTATGGTTTTCCTTTAATGTGAATTTAATGACTATCGATTTTCTTTACAGGAGTTGAAAAATGAGTGTATTACTCTTCGATGTTAATTTTGACTTTGCTCGAGTAATTCATTCTTCTAAATCTAATATACACTCCTTTAATTAACTCTTTTCAATGATAGAAGTGATTGATTCTGTGTAACGTGTATATATTAACACATTGTCGACCGGTCACGATCATGATAGTCAATTTTCTTAATTTTGCGGATTAATGAAGTTACTTAATTTTAAATGAATATTTCATGGGATCACGATGTCAAAAGGATTATTTGATGTAAAACATCAAGTATAACCGTGTACAAAGGATGAAAGAAGACTTGGTTTGCAAACTGTTATTTTCTTTTTCTGCTTTCTCTGATATTTTTTCCACATTGCATTGTAAACTTTCGTGGAAGTTTGAAATTTTTGAAAGAACATTTCTGTTTCAACAAAATACCGCGCTAGTGAAACATTTCGAGAAAAGAGAACTTTCAAACGGAATAGAATATTTCAAACGGAGTAAATAAAAGAACTTCAGGTTACTTGAGGCAATTAACTCGGGATGAAATTTTAAAAATAAATTCTTTTATTCAAGTCGAAACGTCGAAAGCATTCGACAATTTCATCGAATTTTTTCGAAATTTCTTTCGGATCTCTTATTCTTTCAAATTTTCAATGTTGATTCGAGATATTTCAGGCAATATGTAATATTTGCGAAGCTATATATTAAACACCACCAAAGCACGATGAAAAAGAAACTGTTTATTTAATAAGCATGTGAGGCCAACAGCGTTTATTTATTGACAAGGAAACTTTAAAAACGCACTGTTTGAGCGATAATCGACGACTGGTCCGTTATTCATCGGTTCTTTTATATCATAAACGAGAGCTGCATTGTTAAAACCATGTTAAACAAAGCGACATCGATCGTACATATTTAATTCAAATAGAAATAGATTCTAGTGATAATTCGAAAATACTTTATATATTTAGAACAACTGATCGAAGAAACTTCCAACAAAAATAAATTTTATTCATTTGTCCTTTTTTTCAGAAAAGTAACAGAATATTCTAACAATCTATGATATTTGTTTAATACATTTCGATATTTTTGAAGAAAAAATTCGTTTGTATTTGATGTTTTATCCCGGAGCAATTTCATAAGACTCGTAACAATAGTTACTTTCATAGAGACAATTCCCATTGGACGATAAATTGAATATGCAGATTATTTTGAAGAATAGCGATCTCGTTTCTGACTATCAAAATGTCTTATAACATAGAAAATCGAAGACAAAATCGACAAACAAATCAAACAATTTTTCTGCTATGAGACCAACTAAACGAGGTATTCGTTTGACTTTTATATCTCTTTACTTCACAGATTTCCATTTCAAGTATAGAACAAAATTGAACATCGACACCCAGAAACTCTTTCAATATTCCAACTACAACGTAACGTAATTACACTTTCATTGACAGTGCAGAAAAGTGCAGTTTCCTCGACAACTCTTCACACGATTTACGCGGAGGTGACACGTGTCGAAGCGTCTTCGCCCCTAAAATATGTTACGACCGCTGTTCATAGTAGCGAGCGGATCCCATCCATCCGCCTTGGCGCGGCGGCGAAGTAATTTCGCAAATCTTTCTAGGTCGCGCGATATTAACGGACGGCTGGAAAACGAAATATCACGCTTTCCACAAATTTTCACGACTTGCACCGTCATCCCCGAGACACGTGTCGGCTAGCGCCCTGCCATGTGTGCCGTACATGTGAGGCCGGCAAGTGTCTAGAATCCTCTGGAGGAGAAGAACAGAGAGAATTGCTGTAGAGAATCAGCTGCGAAACCTACACGCACACGGTGTATCTCTCGTGGAAAATTTTTTTACGTTCCTGCTCTTGATGAATTTTTTTTATATCAATCTTTCCATCCCTGAAAGATGTTTCGTTCGAAAGTCTTAGGGCACTTTTGTTTTTAATATTCATACTCGTCGTGGATTATCGTATGTACATGTTTTAGAATATAATATTAATATATTAAGAGTCATAAAGTATGTGTCACATTTATTGTATTTAATTATATTCTATGTATTGTATTTAATTCAATGTTATCATACGTATTAGTATGTAATATATCAATAAGTTTTTATTATATAAAGTATGTTTCAAATTTATTTTGTATGAATACAACAATTTATATTGTATATTGCATATTGTACGTAATTTATAATTTATATTGTACTATTTTTGTTGTACAAATATGGAGTAAAATATGTTCTAAGATTGAGACAAGGGATATATACAACATCTCACAATGTATTGTCTCAAACATTTCTTTCGCGATCAGAGTTTGATCGACATCTCCCATACTCTCTGGATATTGTCTCATCTGACAATTATTTGTTCATTTTATTAAAAAAATTCTCTTCGTGGCCAAAGATTTGGTTTAACAAGTGACATAAAAATTCACCTCGAATAATACTTTATTAGCAAATTACAAAAATTTTGGAATGATGGAGTTACACTATAAAACACTATAAAACATAAAATATTGTATCGATATTTATTATCCATTAATAAAACGAAATAATCTTTCGGACAATCTAATATTATGTACTTCCTGAAATAGTATGTACGTTTGTACATACATATATACCAACTCACGAAAGTTGAATATCAATTATTTTCTTTAAACACTTTTATGATTTCATTACTCATAAAAATATTATAAATATAATATTTCTAAGAACATGTTCATTTCGCTGTTCCAAATAAATAAACAGAATATCCAATAAACATCGAAATAAATCATTCTTCTATATATTTCTCTTTCAATTTCCCAATTATCATCCAAGTCTAAATTCCTGTCATTTCTTTTTCACTTAACGAACCTATTACACACATCAGTCGAATTGTTCGGAATCGGTACTAAAGCGAGAGCGTTGACAAGGATCGTCGCGAACTACTCGGACAATCGATCAAACCTTCCCCCCGGAATGCAAAGACACTTTGGTGTAGAAATCGCGAATCTAGGTCCGCCAGAGACCTAACCCGAAAGTTAGCTCGGCGTAGGCTCGAACGATCGTAAATTCAACGAAACGACGGGAAACATCCGGCCAAATTATACATCTCATAAAATATTCCCGACCGGTTCCCCGAAGCAAGGCAGAAAGTATTTCGCATAATATCTTCTCGAACCACGCGGCGGAGAACCATGGAGGAAGACGAGAAGAGGAAAAGGAAGCAGGGCGATACAAACCCCTCTGTCGAGTTCAATCGGTCGCGCGGCCGTCAGAGCGAAGGAGGAAACGCAGAAAGGACGAAGGGAAACACGGCACCGGCCGAGGGGAGAGGAAGAATAAATACGGCAGAGCAGAGTTCGAAGGGAAAAGGAGGAACCGGCACCGCGGTTCCCGATACGCTGATACAGCGGAAGAACGACGCGAAAAGAACGGCACAATATTTCAATATGCTAAAATTATCGAGCGTTTCCTCCGGCTGTACTTCCGCTAAGTAAAGCTTCCAACTCTTTGCTCTCTCTCTCTCTCTCTCTCTCTCTCTCTCTCTCTCTTTCTCCTCGCATCGACGGTTAACGAGGATTCGTTTAACGTGGCTGTGGATTTTCACGGATCGATTCGAAGCGATTCGCCGAGAGTGGGTGTACGATACAGGGAGAGCCAGCGGCTTGGAAAGTGTTTATATGATTTTATTCACTGAATAATCGCGAATCGATGGATTTTTTTTTTCTTTTTCTTTTTTCTTCATGGCGCAACGTATAAGTCGGAAGACGCGCGTAAGTCGCCGGATGGACACGGACGGAATGTTGATTAATCACTTGCGCTGGCAACTGATTGCGGACCATAACGAGTGACCAAACCGTATACAATAATTCGTCACTTTCATTTTGAACTCGTCGGTACGATAATCACTGGATAGAGATTATTGAGAAGTAATAAATTTATTATTTGTTTCGCCTGGGTTATACTTAAATATAGTTAAAACTGAGAAAATATTGCAATTTTGGGACAAAAAATTCTCAACGTGCGTGGCATGTCATTCCAGCGCAAGAAATTAAAACGTATTGAAGATACGTTTAAGGTCGTATCAGAATCGGCCAGTCGTTAAGAATTAATAAAACATCGCCGATTCGAACGAGCATGAAATTCCACGGGACGTTTTCATCCTCTGTTGGAATTTTAATTGGCTGATAGCAAGTGAAAAATACTGTTTTTCTGGAAGAGGAGATTTCTCTTTCCAGTATGTTTGCACGAGAACGTACTCCGCTGATATAATTCTACTACCATAATCGTATACCGTTTGATAATTTCATGTGTAGAACTGTGGTTACCTCGATCCTCATGAAAAAGTGACATATACCTAAGTAGACATAAGTTTGCTTCTTTTTAATTACACGTAGAAATTCAAGTTACTTGAAAGAAATCACTTCATCGTATTGTGACTTTCAAAATTAACTCTACTATAACTAGTATTGTACCAATATGACACTACGTCAATATTAATATAATCATCAGCATTTTTGAATAAAAAATATACACTAGTTCACGAATATTCTGCGGTTATCAATACACTGAAGCCCTAAAAATACTCGTCGCAAAATTGACAACCAAACATGGAGAGAACGGCTAGACACGTCGAATATATATATATATATATATATATATATTACCATCACTATGACGCTGAATTCCACCTAAGTATGTAACAGACCGCTAGGAAGCAGAAAGTAAAGGGTGATCCACCGGTACGTGACGTGTCTCTCTCTTTCTCTCGTCTCGAACACCGCCGGCGAAAAAATGCCAAAATATACGACTCGATTTTACGGTTCGACGAGCATGTCCGGCGAATCTGATTCCGAATCCGCTATCTCCCCGAAGACTGACGATATCGACTACTGGACCCGAGTAGCTGCCCCCGCCGCCGCGAGAAAGGAATATGGTCCCCGGTGGTTTACGCGGCCGGGGGAAAATAGAACCGGTCCCGATGTAACGCTCCATTTCGATATCTCGATATGACGCCGCGCCGGTACACTTCCTTTTGATCCTGCAACCTCGCGTTCCACCGCGTTACACCGGAAACACGTCCAGGGGTTTCCTGCAACCCTGTCCGCGGAAGAATTATTGTATTATTCGAGGAATAGAATACGGCCAGTTTTCGATTCCGTGTCCGTGTATATATATATATATATATATATATATACAGTGTGTCGAAAAAGTATCGGCTTTGCGTGTTTGTTTCGGTACCAAGTACGTTTCTTAGTTAGTGTCTTTTAGCATCTAAATATGAAAAGTGTATTTTGTTTAGAACTTTCGATGGCGCATCTTGAAGAAACATGAATTGGCACCGAGTCCATTAATAATTTATTATGATATTACTGTTATTTTAATTTCTTGAAATTTTATAAAATCGTAGAATATCATAATAATAGAAGAATATCAATAGAATTTCGTAATACAAGACTTTATTATTATTATCAAATATTAATATAATTAATAATTAATTTGGTTGAGAAGAATTACAAATGAAATAAAAATACAAATATTATTTTTGTTATACTTCAAATATTCTGTGTATTAATAACTATTCCACAAATGTCTTTTGTACAATCTCCAATAATGTCTTTCTCGAATTATTCCCATTAATTGTACAATTTCTCCGCGCGCGAATCTCTCCGTCAGAGTGGAAAACGTTGAATTTACTCTCATCAAACAACAAAAAAATCATACACACGAATCAAAGAATCGAATTATTGTGTTTACTTCAAAGAAAGAGAACGTTCCAATACGTTTTTTCACAAGTGTGTATGTGTTTATCAATCTCTAATAATGTTTTCTTTAAATCATTTCCATTAACTCTACAATTTTTCCACAGTTTTTCCAATCATTCCCCGTCAGAGTGAAATATTGAGAAAAATATTGAATTTACTCTCGTAGCGTAGTTTATAACAAAGATATTATACGCGTAAATCAAAGAATCGAATTATTGTGTGTGTGCGTGTGTGTACTTCAAAGAAAAAGGATGTTCCAATACTTTTTTCATAAACTGTATAAATATATATGTGTGTGTGTGTGTGTGTGTGTGTGTGTGCGTGTGTGTATGTGCGTCATCACAGGCCAGAATCACGCCGCGTGACAATAACGAATGACCGTTCGTTCCGATAACGCGATCCCAAAGTTGATACGCAGATTGCCCGTTTTTTGGCCCCGGCTTTCTCACGGCGATGTTATAAATAGGCGTTGATACCGACCGGTAATAAATATCGCGTACGCTCACTGCCAGGTTCGTACGTTTCCAGTGTGTTCCGGAGGATTTTCAATGGCAGATTTCATGAACTGGATGTGGGATTTCGATGTGACCGGTTGCACGACACGCTGTTTGATTTAACGATTTCACCGTTGTGTGAATAATTGGGGGGGGTTAAGTCCCCGCGCAAACACGTCGAAGAGCGTGACAGTTGTTTCGATGGATCTCTCTTCAGAGGAACGATATTCCCTTCCACTCTTCAATCCAAAGATCTGAGTCCTCTCAGCTGTTGACTTTGATAAAAGATATTAAAATTATTTAGTTATCGGTAACTTGGGGACGAACTTTTACTTTCGAACATAATCCCAGCAATGCGTAATCTGCTTAACATTCAAAGACACGATGTGAGAAGAAACCTACGGGTTTCGACTTTAAAACACGAAAGTATAATTGCGGTATTATTATTCTAGAAATGCGACGAAGTATATTTAGTATTCAAAGACTTGTTGCAGTAGGAAGCTGGTGAATCTTGATTTAAAATATTTATGGTTATATCTGCGGTTCTACGGGGAAAACGTGTCACGTGCTTTCGCATTCGAGTTATTGCCATTCGAAGTTCCCAACAACAGTTCTTCTCATTAGCCACATCTATGCTTGTTCACATAAATTTCTTCGTTATGAACATTAAATCATCCTATTCAAATGAAAATTTTTTTGGAACTATGGGGTTTTGTTAATTTACATTGCAGAAATATTAGAATTGACCAATGTTCGATTGATGCAAGTTTAATTTATTTTATAATATGATTGTAGTAAAAATACCACGCAGATAGAAAGGACTATACATACCAGTTGTCGAATTAACAGAATAAGCTAGACGCAGAAACGTAGTCAATGTTAGTTGTGACAACAGCGTTTCAGCGTTTCTGTATCTGATGTATGGATAAATCCCGTTGTAATCCAGCACTGTCATTACGAACAGAGCAGAATCTGCAGTATCGGAATACCTACTATTCAAACGTTCTACTATTGGAACAGTTTGGTATCCAAACGTTCTGTTCTCTGGACAGTGCATTGCCTTCATTGCCATATTGCGAGAACAACGCTACAACTATCTAATTATTTTATGTAACAATATAAACGTAGGAATATACCATGCTGATCGTCGAGAATTGACGACGAGAACTTGGAGAATAAAAAACTCAGAAAAATTTGCAACAGGTATCCAAGACGAATTTGTGACAGTGATTGTGATCACGTTTGAGAAATATTCGAAGAAAGAAGGGACACGAATACAGAGAATGACAAAATTGGGAACGAACGAGAATATTTTTTAGAAATGTTAAGGAAAGAGAAACTGGACATTTTTTCCAAAAACGCAGTTCGAAAACCACGATTCCTAATTAATAAACATTCACATCCGAAAGAGATCAACTCCCAATATTTTTGCAAAGGATCGACGTTCTTTCTCCCGAAATTATCTACATATATTTATTTATTATATATTTAAACGTATCTACACATATTTATTTATTATGTATTTAAACGTATCCACATATATTTATTTATTATATAATTAAACGTATATTTAAAAACAAAAGAACCTCGAAAAACGAAATGTCCCAAAGGACAATCGCTCGCCGATATAAACGCCGGGGCCAGTTTCAAAGGTTGAGCCAAGGAAACGATCGGAAATCGAAGAGCCCTGACTCTTTCAGACTCTTGCAAACACTCGCTGAAAGCGCGCTCGTCTCTCGCGACTCGATCGAAAAATTTGTTCTTCTTTTCTTTTTTTTTTTTCTTTTTTGCTTTTTTAAACGTTGCACGAGCGTCGGTCTCTTTGACGATGCAACCTACTGGCTACTGACTCCACTTCTCCAACCTTGTGCCGGACGAGGCAGATGTAAGCGGCTGGGAAACTGGAGGGCGAGAGTCAGTCGGTTTAACCGGGACACGAGCCGAGAGAGAGTGATTCATCGGCAGCAAAGAATTCGGAAGTTCGAGATATCGCGCTGGGCCTAAAGAGGAAGGGGAAACCGCCAGGGCGTTTTAACTCGAGCACTATCGTAAATTCGGGTCAGGTTGAAAGCAACGACGCGATGGCCTCTATCCGAGGGAAGCAGGAAACGGGGAGATATCCTTCACAGGCGAAGGATATCCTGCAGGAAACGTTAGCTCGACGTGACGTTCTGTTCGCTCGAGGTGACTGCTTCATTCGCTGAAACACTTACAGAAACTTTCTCTGAACACGACGACTAGGTCGAGGAAAATACCCGATGAGGTTCATTGGCGTTTGTGTTCGTTGGTGAATTAAAAAGAAATAGGTATTTCAATACGATACGAAGAAGGATATAATCTGATGGATCTAAAGATATTAACTTCATGATGTAACAACTTATGAAAATACATGGACATTCATATGTTTTCTTGCTTAGTTGTTATATATACATTTATTAATATTTATTATATTTATTATTAATATTTATTAATACAGTTACTAATATTTTTTTAAATGCGTAAAAGTGCGTGGCTATTGGGTCAAAAAAATTGAATAAAATGAAATAAATCACAGAAGAGAAGGACTATCCAGATATAAACGGGATACTTACGAATAAATAGATGATAATAAACAGACATGATGCTCGTGAAATTGATCAATTTTTTCGATCAAACAATCGAACGTACAGAAGTGAATCGCACGATCGCAAAATCAAAAAAGCGAACGCGTATTTGTTCGGTCATTTGGCGTTTTGATTTCGTGTGTTTACGCGATACCGCTTGCTACTTCCGGGGCTACGCGACAACCGTATACGGTTTCTGTATGTCCGCGGCTGCTATGAGTTTTGAAACATTGTAATAGGATTCCCCGTTACGACTCATGTAACATAAAGGACTTACGCGGATACTCACCTGACGTGGAAACAGGGATGAAAAGCTGCCGGATTATCCTGCGGCGAGAACTTCGGTAGAGTGCCGTGAAGGAGGGCGAGACGTACCACCAGCAGCACACCAAACTGTGAATAAAAGGAATCCTTTAACAATCGTGCATGCTTAATTGTTTCGAGTAGTATTTGTTTTGCGATTTTTCCCGCTATAATATCGTATGATATTATATTGTTGACAAATATTAGGTATTTAGAAATGATAAGGTAAATCTTGGCGAGATATTTTTTTTGTCGTCGTAGGTTGATCTCGTAGAGATACGTAGCAACAGACTTCAGGATTTTTAACATAACGTTGCCAGTAATTTTAATATAAATTTTTATATTATACTGTAGACTTTAATAAAATACTTGGAAATTTTATTAACAGGGTGTTTCGGTTTTACTAATTTTACTAACTTGTGGGACCCAATTCGGGAGCTGATTGTACGCCTAAAAATAATGAAGAAAAGTCACATAAATATATGTCCTATCTGTCTTCGTTTATGAGATATAATGAATTTTCTGTTTTAATTACTTTTACTAAAGATGCTCGAAATGACCACCTTGCATTTGTAGACAAGTTAAGAAACACGATTGTATATCACTATTGTTTCAAACAGAGTATAAAAGTTGCATATATATGTATATATTTATTTTAAATATTATTATATTAAAAATATAAATACAAGGGATGTGCCTTATTACTGCTAATCAAATTTCAAGAGATTCTATCTAACGCACAATAAAATTTTCGTACGATATGTTCGCTGAAGTAACCGTAGAATACACGTCTGACCAAATACGGCTTGTACTACTTAAAATCGCATTCTAAAAAAAACATTGAATTAGACTATTCCATTTCAATGCGATATTTTTATTTACACACTCCATTAGTTAAACCCTTGTAATTTATTGATATAAAAATTGTTAAAATTCATAACTCGAGTCATCATTAAAAATATCGAACGAAACGTTTCACGCGTTTTGGTAATTTCAATCGCAGTATCGACCCGAGTCCCGCAACGAGTCCCCTACGAACTGCTTCACCAACATCCACGAAACTTTAAAACGCGAATTTTCTACCTGCCGTTTACACGGCTCGAAAGATGAATGAGAGTGAAACAAAAGGGAATCCAGATTGCGGAAGAGCCTCTTACTAGCCTTTTCTGCAGAAGGCTCTCGACTCGCGGCTCAATGACTCGCTACACTGCTAGAAGCATTGGAAGGTTTCATTAGCCAGCTTGGAAAACGGGAAACAAGAAAACTCCAGGGTTAGAAATCTCACGCGGAAATACGCTATCCGACTTAGTTGCGCGCTGGCTACTTCTTAATTAATTCGGGCAATGACATTTTCGTTACTTTTATATCCCCCGCATTATGGAACGTTTCAACGTAGCAGAAATTTGAAACGAAGTGGAAAATTGTACGAAACGCTAGTTTGATCAAGAATGACTAACGAAGTGCCCAAAATAAACGACTTGTAATTTTTGATGAATATTATTTAAATGTAAAACAGTGTATTTTTAAAGATTAAAATCTCTCGTAATTAAAATCTTTCGTAAAATGTGCACTTAAATAAAAGCTTGTGTAGTCCATTGTATTATAAAGTTTATAAAGTTATAATAATAATATATATAAGTTTATAAAGTATTATAAAGTTATAACGTTTAACTAATTGTTTTACTTTAATACTTCTGATGAAAATTTCATATTTACGTTTCAATTTTACGTTAAATTAAATTACGAAAATTTCATATTTACGTTTCAATTTTACGTTAAATTAAATTGAAAAATATGAAACGTATGGAAAAATATTTTAGAATGTAGTTGTAGGATGTCGGATTATTTATGGATTTTTCGAATAACTATTCTGATATTAAAATGCTTTCAAGAAAACTATCTACACGTGTATTTAGCGTAACTTCAAAAATAGTAGACTATGCCCATAGCTATATATATTTTTCGTTCAAAAATTATAAGACAATTTTTACACTCGTTTCATAATTAAAAGAGATTAAGTAACAACTAGAAGATTATTTATTATGATACTTTAGTCAAAGAATACATAAAGTAATTAACATACAAAAAAATGTTAATACAATTCAAGATTATCATAATTTCGAAAATATTAAAAATGAAAAAGGGAAGGGAACATATACAAACTTCTTCTATGTAGCATTAACTCACAATTGTAAACAAGAATCATTTCCATCGCAATACGTCAAGATATACGGGATAACATTCCAACGGGATGCCAACGGTGTAGAACGAGACGTCGTCGTCGTCGTCGGGCGTTTACGTACGAGAACGACACACCCCTGGGTTCTTTGGTCGCATTTCTGTCACGTCCGATAGCCAGGACCGGCCCTTGCCCACGTTCTCCACGATGGAGATCGCTCTTTACGCCTTACTCTCCAACTTCGCCACGTACGCGCGTCCCTCTATCAACCCTTTCTCTTTCTGTCTTCGCCAGAGTTTCCCCCGTCCCACGCGCCTTCCGCATCCTCCTGTTCGGGCGTGTTCTTCGTATTGGATGGAGAACGAGTGGATTCTAGAAGGGTTCTACAGCCGGACAATGTCTGCCAATCCAAGGTATTCATATTCTTCTTCGATCGGCGAAGCCACCGTTACGTACGTGCACTCGATACACCTATCCTCCTATCTCGACGTCTCGAACAATCTCTCTCGTTCCATGGGCGCCCGCCGTCCTGCTGGCAGCTGACGTCTTCGTCTCGTCGAAGGAGAGAAGGGAGAGGACATATATATATATCGCGTTACGTCGGCAAGGAGTCGGGCTTGACCCACGGCCACGAGCACCAACAACGAGACAGAAATTCAATTTCAGTAAATATCCGATGCGCGCGGAACGTCACTGGACCGCATGCCCGCCGGAATTCCCTCTTGTTAGCCTTCCGGGAATGCCCGAGGTGGTATTATAACCTCTCCCTGCACACGCCTGGGAATATATTTCTCGCGGGAGCTCGACGACCATCCGCTCTGTCGCGTGTTTTCATGCCGGGTCGACTCGCGTTTCATTTTTCCGTTCGTACGATGGATATTCGGCGTTGGGATGGTTTGATAAGATCTCGTTGTACGAGTGTCTCTATACGAATTGTCTCTATTGACTTTGGATGCGATACTTGATGCAACGATGCATCGCGAGAACAGAATGTGTGTGTGTGTGTGTGATGGATGATTTTCTGAGATATTAATATGTATTGTAATAACGATATGCTGTATATAATAATATATATTAATATAATAGTATAATATAATAGTATAATAGTATATTATGTTATATACTAATATAATAGTATAATAAATAGTATAATAGTATATTATATTATATATTAATATAATAGTATAACAGTATATTATATTATATATTAATATAATAGTATAATAGTATATTATATTATATATTAATATGAGCGTTAATTTAGTAATATAATAGTATCGTATTTATATACAGCATATCGTTATTACAATATACTGTATATAAATATAATACTATTATATTTACTATTATATTTATACAGTATATTATTACAGTATACTGTATATAAATATAACACTATTATATTGCGATACAATATTATTGCATTATTATATTACAATACGATATTCAAACGATTTTCGATAAAGAAAGCTACATTAACATTATTATCATTAACATATTTAGTATTATCATATTTAACATATTATTATTAGATAATTAGTATCATCATTAACATATTTTATTCAACCTCGAATTGAAGTTTCAATTCGAGAGAAATTTTAATTAGAGCTCAATTAGACGAATTGCTCGTTGAATTTATTCATTTCTCTATTTTTATTTCTTCACGTAATGGGCAAAACTGTTGTAGCATATTTTAGATACTCCAATAATAGCGAGCCTCCATTTACTATACGAACACCTGGCAAAATTCATACGAAAACGGAGTTCTTGATTACACGTGTAATTAATTTTCTTGCGAGAACGATCAAAGGCACGTTGCGTCGTCACGTTCCTAGATCTTCTGTTTCCAGCACTCTGTTTTGGAATCTGTTAATTAAACGTTCCCGTTGTCGGCAAACGAAAACGGTTCGCAGTCGCGTTAAATCAGTTAGACGGAATTATAATTACACGCACAGCCTCGAGATAACATGAGACGCAGGCCTGAGATTTAAGCAAACCAATTGACTAACAATAGACATACTGTAGAGGCAGTCAACAACGCTTATCCCTAATGCATTGGCTTATCGATTGTTACCGTTCAAGGAGCGTGCGTTCCGTTGTAACTAAAAATAAATACTGCTCGATCGAAGCTAACACATATCTCAACGAGTATTGATAATTGGTTCGTTGGTTCGTTGAACTAAACCAACGAAAAATTTAATGACGAACGATGTGCGAAACGAGAAAGGTTGTGTTTGTATTGTATCGGCGAAAATATCTAAAAATTCATGTTAATAAACTTAATTAAGTAGGATTTTTAACTGACAGTTTTCATTAAAAATCTTAAGAATAGCAAGAATACGAGAAATCCAATTTTTTCAAGTCGACTCAAGGACTAAAAATTAAAAATATGAATATTGTCCCAAATATATATATATAAATCGCTTTTTAACTCAAAAATACATTACGCACATTTTAACTCTTTTAACAAATATTTAACATTTTCCAAACAATATACGAGAAGAGAAATTTCGAAGTAATTCATTCATGAACAAGATTCAAGATTCAAGAAAATTTCCATCTAGGTTCCCTAAAGCCAATCTAAAACAATATATGTATATATCGTCTTACAACCAATCGCCAAACAACCCTGTAACACGAAATCCAACCCGGGGTTCCATCTATGTAGGGCTGAACAACCCTTGAAATTCAGTGTTCCTGAGGGGGAAAAGAACGTCAAGTAACTGTATCGAAAAGAATATGCCTTTAGACGTTGTAAGTGGTAATAGGTGGCAGAGAAACTGGGGAGGGTTGCCCTCGCATGTTTCCCTTGTCCCTTCACATAAATTAGCATAACTCGGAATACCGTTCACCATCTACTTTCCATTGATAATACATTGTATACCGCCATAACTTACTACGTAAGTTACGATACGAATTACGTGAAACACGAAAACGATCAGAACAAACTGTGTTGAAAGAGCTAATTTTGCCCCTGCTGTCAGAGAGTGCTACGCAAGTATCTAGACTTTTGTTAATTATTTGTATCTTTGTTACATCTCGTACACGTTATATTCTTATTCTATTAGCGAGCAACACGACCATACAAAATAATTACCTATAACGTAAATATCAACGGGCGCGTGTAAAAAAGAAACATTGAGAGCGCGCTAGGCTACGTTATTATTTTGTTTTGTTCAATTGAATGTATTGTAATTTTATGTACAATTGTATTGAAAATCAGTCGAAGGACATATCGTCTGAGAGCCAATTGAAAAATTCGCGATTCTAGGGGATAATGGTTACCCCAATCGGACGTTACGAAGTTATTCCTGAATGGTAGAGGACCCGGAGAAACTTGAGCGAGCAATTGAGACTCCTGCGAATGCACTTTGCATGTCTTTAACGACAGCTCTCACGGAAATATCGTTTAAATTAATTCGCCACTGCGAACAGTCAAACGATTGATACGATCGCTCACACTCCGTGAGGTAGGAAATTTCTGAACAGTTCTCTTTCATCAGTCACGCTCGAGATAATAAAATACACTACCTATATTCCTTTAATTTTCAATACTCAAGTCGCAGAGATACGATGTAAATAAATTTTCACGTTTAGCCTTCATTTATATGATAATTTACTTGAATGTGTATCGCGTGTCACCAAAAAGATGAATGTGGCTGGTAAATAAATTTTTAAAATATTGAAGAAAAATATGTTTCAAGAAAAATAGTTCAAGTTGAATTTCGAGACTGTATAAATATGAGAAATCGATTTAAATTCCAGTAGAAAAACGTAGTTTTCAAATTCATGTCATTCCTAAAATTTTCAATCTGATATTTAAACACCGGTTGACCAATTACGAGGAATAAATCGATCATTCTCCAGGAAAGTTTCCTCCGTTTGAAAAGCATGTTCGTGAAAAAAATCAAGTCTGTTACGAGGCAGAGAAGAGCAACAAAACTCGAGTGGATAAATGGTGGCTCCGCGGCCATAACCGCCCCCGTTACTACCACCTCGCTGTCTCGTATTTCATCGTAAGTCTTCGAAAGCCGTGATCGCTTTGCGCCACGCTGAAACAGCCAAAGCAGTTCCCGCGGGTTTGCCAACGCGACTCGAGGGAGGCGAGTTAATCTTACGCGATCGTAAAAGTGAACTCCTCACGTCTGTATCTGCATTAACGGTCGTCAAACTTACTTAAGCCAATGAGACGTTGCAAATATCGCGTTGCTCGGCCGAACAATAAAAACGGAAGATATCGGTCGTTAAGAATTAACGACGCGGATCCGTGACCATTCGCAAACAGCGCCACGGGCCTTATTAACGATCGACGTTGCTTGTTTTTACGCACTAATCGAGTGTTTTTGCTGTTTGCCTACTCGAAGCACAATAGCATACTTTCAGGGAACTTGTAAACAGACATTTGTTGTGTAAAATGTTTCGAGACTTCGCTAATTCGCCGGGGATTTAACGAAATAATAAGTAAATTGATCTGATAATTTGTTCAACTATAAACAGTTTTTTATCGCGTATTATATGTATGTAGTGTTGCTATTTTAATAAAGAAATCGTACACATATTCGTACAATAAATATTTTTACTAAGGAACGAGCATCTCACGTGAACACAGAAATTCACGTGTGTACTGTTCCGGAATTGCATTATTATCATTATATTGATAAAGTTTGGAACAAATCTAAAAATCTGTATAAAACATTTTGTAAAGATCACACAACATGTGTATTTGCACTGTCAGTTATATCCAGTGGAATAGTAAATCTGAATTTTTATTCGGGTTATGTACAGTAATAAATATTCAACGTATTAAATGAAAGAATTTTTTAAAAATTGCGAAACGTAAAAGTACGTAAGTACATATATGTGTACATGGAATGAATGTATGTAGATTCAGTTCGCACGTGATCGAATATCGTGCCTATATGCAATGGATGCTATGAAATATCGAAATTGATAATAAGGTATATTTGGTGTACTCATACACGAATACAACATAATAATAATATAATTATTATCAGATACGAAATATAAACGTGGAGTAGAAATGGAAAATAAATGAATTTAATATTGAATTTAAATAACAAATTATCTTTACTTTACAAAGATGAATTAACTTGTTTACAAATTAGGGCCTTCAGTTTCACTACAAAGATCGAACCAAAGGAAATCTCTTCTTAACGCAATATTATATTTCTACAAGCATAAACTTGCATTCCATTCCTATTCACCTTCCATTATGTAAAATAATAGTATCCAAGTTGTTATTATTCCATTGTAACTAAAACTGTTATTATACTCCACGCTTAATAATATAAAAATACGAGGGGAAGCACCGTCAAAAATTAAGCTTTTCACATTGTTCGCGTCTCGGGCATTTAAAATACACATTCAACTAATTACCAGGCAGAACTTGCGCCGATTTACCGCCACGAATCGACAATGGAGCAGCGACGGCCGTTGCAGGCCGGAAACAATGCGCGAAGCGCGAGGCGTCATGTCGGAATAACATCCCTGTTCTCGATCGAGCGTAACGAAGGAACTTCTCACTCAGTGAATTTTCAACTGCTCGCTCGTTTGAACAGTTTCGTTCTCTCGCTTTTTCTTTCTCTCTCTCTCTCTCTCTCTCTCTCCATTGCACGCGCGGTTTCTGCAATTATTCAGAATAAGATACGCCTAATCAATTCCAATGACGTATCAGAATTGGTTTGCGAAATTTCACTACTGGCGACGATATCAAATCGTTCCTGGGATTTTTTTCTTGTCGAAAAAAGGTGAGAACATTTCCGAATTCTACGCGGAATGACGAAGTGGCCACCGAAATCAGTTAGTCGTGTTAATAAAGCTTTCGTTTCTCGTGAAAAAATTCGCCTTTCATTCGCACGCATAGAAAAAAATCGCAGTTACTTTTCGGCTTTGTGAGCCGAAATTTTTTTTTTAAGAATTTGAGAATTTTATAATTTACTTCTCGAGAATTGAATAACCTGACTCGAGTAAAATATCGATTGAAAAACTGACGAAAAGTTGCTTAATATAAATATGAAATAAATAATAGTTAGAATCTAAAATACATAACAAAAATAGATTCTCAAATATTACTATAAAAAATATATGGTAATATTTGAAAATATTTTATCAATATGAATTAAAGAAGAGTATACATGCATCGTGCAAAGTTTCCTTGTTGCTTCAAAAATGTGCGGTCCTTAGGCGCGCCGAGCACGGTGCGCAATGTGTTAACCGAGTTCGCGACGGTTCTTCAAATCACAGAGCACGTTGTACTCTGGTTCCGAATAATTACCACGAATTCTCCGAATGGGTCGGCGATAAACAACGACCGCGTAAACGGCCTGCGCGATAATTCCGTGTAAACGGTGGAATAAATTTCGCCGCGGAGTGCTTGGAACTGCCCCGGTAGGAGTATCGATTCCAGACCGGTGGGTGTCGCGTTTCAATTTCATTATCGTCCCGTCCTGGTATGGCCAGGAATTTCCTGAACGACGTTTCGAAGCACAGGCTGAACGAGTCCATGAAGCAAGATAAATGGATAGAGCGGATACGTAGACCTTCCGCGATCTCTCTATTCGTCCCTGTCCGACACATTGCCGGCGTAGACATTGTCGGTAATACGATAACGACGCTGGCATCGAGTAAAACACGAACAGCGAAAAGGGAGTAGGAGCGCTCCTTCTAAGGGGTGATTCGTCGAAGGGAAATCATGCGAGGCTTCCACGCACGGGTGACCGCGCGTGACACGTTAAGAGGATTCGATTCTCTTCTCTGCATCGCGCTCGTGCCCGAGCAACGGGACTTGCCTCGTCTTTTTCGTTCTCTCATTGTCGTCGGGCAAGCTGGTTAACTCGTTCGTTCGACGATTATGAAATCTGATTTGAATACGCGAGTAACCGAGTTAATGGGTTTCGCCAGCTGAAAGACGACACGATCGGCGACTATTGTGGGCTTTCAGTACGTTGTTTTTCTGCGGCAGCCGTGTGTGTCTTTCGTTGCTAATATCTCGAGACGAGCTCCTTTGTTGGCTTTTTTTTTTTTTAATTTCTAATATTCCAGTGTTCAGTTACGTTCCTTTCAATTTTTTGATACAGTTGTTAATGAAATGAAGATTGTTTTTTTTTATTTGGTATGTGAAAAATTACTTCACTTCTTCAGTTTTGAAATAAATTTAACACTATGTATATATACTTCCTCACTGACTTTAGATATTTCTGAGCTTTCTGATTTATGTACCTTGCTTCGGAATTAGAAAAATTAAAAATTTACAATTAGTCATAAAAACAAGTGACAGAGTATCATTAAAGTTGATATTTTAAAATATTTTTTCCAATTTTTATTATAATAATAAAAGATGCGTGTAATATAAAATTCTCATTAGATATCGAAGTTTCATTAAAATTCAGGTTTTTGAACGGAAGTGTATGCTCCTTCTTATCTCTGTACCCCTGATTCTTTAATTTGTACATTTACTTCAATAGATAATATCTCTACAATACAACACTATTAATAAATTATTTCTAGCAATTATTAATTCCTAGATCTCACTGTGGAGTGGAATAAATAGGCACAATTAACTAAATAAAACTTCGGATTGTAAAAGATTAATTGTTACTATATTTATATCTCACCAGATCATAAAAGATTAATTTGCATGATATTTATTGAACTCACCGAAACAAGCAAAGCCGCAGCCCGACGAGAAAAGTGTCTCGAATCGTCGTTCCATCTGGCCTCGAAGATTGACCTGAAATAAATAGAAAAGCGCGAATCATTCGGGTGAACTTTGTCATTAATCGTCGATAATTTTTTAACCCACCGGTTGTTGTTATTCACTACGAAATCGAATCAACGCCCGACCAAAAACCTCTTCGCTACTTCACACGCTTTCTCTGCTAATCGAAGCAGGCATCTCCCATTTAGGCATCAAAGATTCGCCCAACTCGCGAATTTGCCAGCCCCGATTTACGTTCCCCGAAGCGTAGTTATTCAAATACGTCGGGCCCCGCATAATCCAGTGTAAACAGTTAATCCGATTTCGCTATTTTATGGTCAAGCATCGTATCCTCTTTGTCTAACGCCGATAGCCGGAGCCCTTTATTAACGCAAATCTTCCGCGTGTAAATCCTATTCACCGTGCGTATGCAAAGGAGGGCGTTGTTCGCATTCCGTATCGCGCGATTTTGACACCGAAGCACTTTCAAACGCGATTTTACTTGCGCTTCGTTGTGCAATTCCGCGATGGTTCGCACGAGTTTCGTCGGTTTCCAATAATTCCCAAAAAGAAGTGAAGATATACACTTTTATTTTCTTTTTTTTTTTTTATTTATAAATCTTTGTTGCTTTTTACGTTTCTCCGCGAATGAGAATGCGGAACTTGTGAGAAACTTCAGAATTTATTTAATACAAAAGAAATGCTTGGAACGTTTGTGTTTAAAGAAAAGTTTAAAGAAAAAAGCTCAAGCTCCGTGTTTAAGTTAGTTGAGTTCATAAGAAACATTCGCAGTCTGCACGTAACTCGAGTATCGTGTATTTTGTCCAAATGCATCGATCAATTTTCCAAAAGAACGATTGAAAAGAGCTTTTATCGTGTTTCATAATCTTCGACAATATTAACTTCGTCGAACGGGTGGTGAATTTTTAGAAAATTTATCAACTAACAATAAGAATAAAGACTTTAAAACCGTCACATTTGGACCGCAAACGAAATAAGAAATCGTTGCATTCTGGAGAAAAATTATATCAGCTTAAATCACGAATATCATATTTCATAGTTCATACTCTGTATATTCTATATTCTTATATTCTACATTCTTATCTTATGCATCATTATATTCTCCGTGTACCTAATATATTGTACATAATGAAAAAAAAATCATTCCCGACGCAACTTAAACTGGTCGAAGAGGCAAATCAAATGGAAGGACTATTCTTTTTCAAAATACACTCTTTAATATTTTTTTTTTCAAAGTTATTGCCATTTTTCATGCAGAAAACTTTATTCTGTTCCATCGTAGCTCATGGCAAGGTACATTCAGATATGTTTATGACACTATCTTCAAATGACCTTAGGACTTTAAAATGTTCTAAAATTCTTTCGGATAATGTCCGAGTACATCAAAAGTTCCACAATGAAGAAATTCATCGCGATCACTTTGTCACGCTGTAATATCTCTCTGGCTACGTTCTTTCTCTCGGCATCTTAACGCGGCAAATATTTCCCACTCTTTCGATCCTCGCGAGAAGAAGGGGCTGTGACCTAAATCAGAGCCGCCTCGTATTATCCTGCCGGCATGGAATTCACCCGCGACCGAGTGAAGTTCTCGTTATAAAGGTGGGTCGCGAGGAGGAAATGGGTGGGTAAGAAGAGGTCGCGTAAAGTCGCGCGAGCTACACGGAGCCAGAGAGACACACAGTGTTACTTCTTATTTCAGGATTTATTGGCGTGCGCGCGCGCTACGTGTCGCGTTTCCAAACTGCTCGGCTGGCGTGGCGCCTTAAACGCTTACCTCTTGATTGAATGCCAGGAGCGACAGAGGTCGTAAAGAAGGTTTAGAGGCAAAACAGTAATGCCTGTTTCCTTGGCAAGCATCGACAGCGCCCCCAGGCACACGCTGCTCCACACGTAAGCCGTTTGCTGCCTGCAACACCAAAGGGAAGGAAAAAAAAAAATAGAATTTCATTTGACGCACGTGTTTAGCGCGGGATCCGGTCGTTAACACTTTCCCGGCGGGATATTTGAAACGAAGGAAATATTATTTTTAGGTATATGTCTCACAAATAACCGTACAACTTTCCCTACTGTACCATATTAATTTAATTAATTTTGATTTCATTGATGTACTGCAACGATCTCGAATGCTCCGCTTTCAAGAATTCGGTTAACACTTTCCCGACGGGATATTTGAGAGATATTTTTATGTATATTTTATAAATAATTGTGCAATTTTTGTTAGTGTAGTTCATTAATTTAACTAATTTTAATTTTATAATACATGTGCTGCATAATCGAATTCTGATCGATGTGACTGGTCTCGAACTATCATTACTTAAAAGATACGGCTGCTCTTGTCAAAATTAATATTAATAAATAAAATATATACATTATAATTGTTATAAAATATATAAAATAAATATATTATTAAATATATATATATTAAATAATATATTATTAAATATATATAATTAATATAAAATAAATAAAATATATATTATAATTTAAATAAATAATAACTAATTAAAATTAATTTAAATTTAAATAAACACGAGTGTATAAATCTACTTACAATTTTAGTTATCGTTTAAATTATTTTAGTTATTCTGTAAATTGGTGATTCATATGTAGAATATTTTGATACGGTTGTTCTAGCGTTAAGCGTATTTTCATTCATTTTTTTATATTAATATTTTTGGATAACCAAAATCAAGTATCATACACAGATATGTGACGCCCGCCGTGAAAATGTCAAGACGGAATTGCGTAACGTTAGATCGCAAGCGTGATCGTTAGATCATGGATTCTCGTGCAAATATTTCGTGTGTTTGCCGTATGGGAAGCAACGGAGGGATGAAAAAATGTAACTTGGTGAAAAGAAATCGTGCAACGATCCACTCAGTCGCATCTGAAAGCGCCAAGTCTTTCTATTGTACTTTCGTAATACTCAGACTTTCATCTTTTTTGAAAATGTTCTTGCAAGTTTTATCGTCGAAAGTTGTAGAAATTCAAACATGTCTGAAAGTATTGAAAAATTTTTTTCGTTACTGGATGTACCATTATTTCGCGGATTGAAGTTTTCTCCTTCGCGATAAGACGACTCCATAAAACTTGCTGTACAATCTTTTTTTCTCTTTCTTTTTTTTTTTTTCTTCATTTTATTCGAGTTTCAATATCAGGGTTGAATGTAGAATTTCTGGAATTTCTATCGTTTAACCTTAATATTCAAGGTCCAATAAAGTGACGAAGAAAGCTCTGACAAAAGGTTTTAAGGGTCTCGTTTTAAAGACCTTGGAGATTTCGATCTTCGAGATCAAGGTGGATCTAGTCACGAAAAAAATTTGCCAATGGTCAAGGACGTTTAACCGCTATTTCATCGTGAAACAGGAAATTTCGTGATTTTTGTTCCTCTATTTCTGTCGACTTCGAATAATGATAATATAACTCTCACTGAAATGGACACCAGGCAACGTGCAATTGACGCACCTTTTAGTTTGGTTTGTAATGCAATATAGTTAATCACTGCTTTTCACTGTGTTGTTTTAATTGCAAACGTTGTGAGTTGTTTTTCAGTCAATTTTCAAACTCATGTATAGCAGAACGTGGTATTGAGAGGCTTTGTTCATTGCTGCGTTCAGTGATTAAAAGAAAGTTTCAATCGTTTTAAAATTATTCACAGGTCGTACGAGGATTTTATATAATTATATAATTTTATATAACTAACTCGAAAGAATTTGATTCATTTTAAAACCATTTCTATCAATTATAAGAAACATTTTTTCCTACCAAATTTTTTTTCATTTATTTCAACTAATTTAACCGAAAGCTTTGGTCATTCGAAATTCGTTAATACTATTTCCAATTTATAAAACGTATTCATCAAAAAATTTTATACGGTTAACTTAACAGACTTTGACTAATTTCAATCATTTCTATAAATTATAAGAGACATTTTCTACAAAATTTGATATAATTTCAACAGAACGAAGCTTTAATCATCTAGAATTCGTTAATATTGTTTTCGTTTTGCAAAAGATATTCGTCAAACAATTTCACGCTGTTAATTTAACAGAGTTTGATTAATTTCAGGTCGTAGAATCCAAAAAAAAAAAAAAAAAAAAACGAAATTTGTGTAACAAATTCAACATCAAAGTTTAATTACATTAACATATTACAGTTTGCAAATTACGTGATTTTCAGAAAGACACGGTTCTTCGATTGACACGATTAAATTCATCAATATATAATGACTGCAAGTAATTTACGTAATTACCAAATCAGCAGGCATTAGCAGAGGATACAGCGATGGTAATTATCAAAAATATTTACTCGACGTCCTTTCCTCCTCCGCCCACTGTCATGTTTAACGTATAATAACAACCTAGCAAGCCAAGAATACACGGAATGTACAATGTACAGGAGGATTTGCGCTTTGCTTAGGTAAACAGCGCCTCAGTTGTGGCAGTAGACTAAGCTTCCGCTTACACATTTTCTCTTTTCGTATACTTTATGTGTATAAGACGTTTACAGGCGTGGCTGCAAACAATTTAAAACAAACGAAACAAACGAGCAAAATCCAAGCACCTGGCACACTGGCGAACTTCTTTGAGAGTCGTCAAACAAACTCCGAACAATCGAATAACTGAATGATGTAAATTCGTCTGGCGTTTTACGTATCTTCGTAGTTTTCTCGTTTTCTTTCTAAAATCTTCCGTTTCTTTGCTTTATTTGACGCTAGAATTTTGTCGTCTCGTTTGTTAAATGTCTCGTCTTGTCTGTCGTAGCATTCTCAGAAAAAATGGAGGACCATTCTGTCGGTGACACGCGTTACCTTAGATGTTAAACGAACAGTAACTCGAAAATATCGTTGTATTATTTAAATGTCATATGTAGTTGCGTTAAGCAAGAAACGGGGAAAAATTGTTGCTATTTGTTTAATCTTGGAGATTGTACATCGCACGCACAGAATATGCGCGTGCAATAATACTTTTTCTAAGATTTTTTTAAATTATAATTTGTTGATCATAAAAGTCAGAATATTGTATCATTTTTTTCTTATTTCTTTAATTTTATCGATTGAAAGAAATAAGGGAATTTTTACCAAAAGAAAAATATCATATTAAACTACATTATTGGAAATAACTAATCGTAAAATATTATTGTTTTGTTAATACGTTATTTGTTTTCACAAAAACTTTGCCAAAAAGAAATTAGGCGTGCAAATATTCTTTCTTTCTTTTCATGAAATCGTAATCAAACTTCACAGAGGTTCTAAAACTCCACGAGAGTGTGAACATAAACTTCGATCCAATTATTAAAATTACATACGCGTTGAGAAATACATACATGGTACTTTCAATTTGAAATTATTGTTACAATTCAAGACGACTGAATAAGAATTGTATAGACTTTGCCATGAAATGTTCTTTTACAAACAGATCGAAAATGATTAACGTTTAAAATGTTGAAGATACACTAGAAAGAAAGTAGTTCAGTTTCCAAATAAAAGTTGATAAATAGAACGAAAGTCTGCGAAGGAAGAAAAAAGTAGAATGGCGGATCACGTTTAATACAAAGGTGTGAATAAAAAACGAAACGAGCGCACAATCTGGGTTATCTTCTCTTAGTCTAAAAATATTATGTGACTTGTGACAAATAAATACTGACTTATCACATATTCTGCGCGAGTCCTACTATATCGTATCCCATTTATATTCGTCAAAGGAGATATATTTTTTCACACAATGTAAAGGGGAATTAGCTTCGGATAATAAACAGGATAGTTTCACGATCAGAAATTTATTTAGCCTGAAACAGTATTTGATTAATTAAAAGTGCCCGAAATTTATCATTTCAGCAGTTTCTTTTTAATTTTTGCTCTCTGCCTTTCCACCTGATTAATGCAATAGACAGATATACTGCTTGCGTCGTGCAACGAAATCCAAACCGCGACAACAACAAATGAATGAAAGAACGGGCATAAAAATTGCAAACAGAGCTGCGAATATTCGGAGGTTTTCTCCACGCGGCTCAATTTGGGACGCGACTTTCCAGGATCACTGTTCAAAAATTTACTTACTGTCGCTGGTTTGAAGAGCTATTCATCACCGTCGAAGAAAAAAGAAAAGAAAAAGAAAGAGAAACAATTAAATTAAAATACCACTGACGAAGGTAATAATCGCGTCTCGAGCGAAAGTTAACGAGGATCATTAGAACGTATAATAAACTTTGACCCATCTTTGTATCGTGGCAGCACGAGGGACAATTCGTATTCATTCTTCGGACCATATATTATTTTCAGTTGCATTGTGCTGGGCCGGACGATCGTTGGAAAGTAGGTAAAAATCTAGATGAAGAAAGAGTGGCGAACCGATTTGGCGATTCTCTGTGCATACGAAAGATATAATGAAACTTCTCGTGGGAGGACAAGACCGGGTTAAATTCTAATTGACGTTCCACGCTGTTTGTCGATACATCTGCGAGATGAATAATCGTAAAAATCGTTACTTCACCCATTTCGACTGGCCGGCGTTTAATTCGAAACGTCGCGGTACAAAACCTTGAGCACCTTAAACGTTCGGCAAAAATTTCATTCCGCCTGCTTTCACCGAGATAATTCGAATTTGCATTTAAATTGCGTTTCTAACGCGAGCGTGTTCGCGGAAGAGAGAGGAGAGATCGCTGGGAAAATATTGCACGCTCGAAGAAAGATCATTCGAACGTACAAAAAAAGAAAAAAAGGGAAATAACGTGTAATTTATACAGACCAGATGGTATACATAAGATTATTAGTTTGAAGATCACAAATTGATATCTTTACCGACATAACAAATAGAATAAAGTCAGATCATTTTCAGACTACGTACGTTTGTGTAATAATATTCATATGAACAAAAATAAAACAATACATTTGTGTAATAATATTCA